TTCTTTTTCTTTTTCTTTTTCTTTTTCTTTTCTTTTTCAGGCAAGGATTACTATATCTGGATAGGCCTTTAATGATTTTGAATTCCACTTCTCCTTTATTAAAGCAATTTTGTCATATAAATCTTGTACTTATAAATATAATAATAGTTTTAAAAATTATTTTTAACAAAATAAATTTAAGTATAAAAAATAAAAGTCTAAATTTCTAAATTTTTTAAAAATACAATTTTTCTTTCTAAAGATAGTTACTTATATTAAACATTTTCTACACTAAAAACTTTTAACTTTGAAGTTTTTCTTCATGACTAAAAATTTCAACTAAATTTTCTTATTCATTTCTAAAATCAAATTTTACTTCCCTAATATAACTTCATATACATGATCATTTTTCTTTTAAAATTAAATTCACTTGTAGCACATCTGAGAACAAATATACAATTTTAAAACCTACCTATTTAAGGAATGCATCTACACCACCAATCTTTATATCTTCAGATTCGATTCAATTGCAAGAAGAACCTGCATTGAATGATGAAATCAGTAAAAGATCTCCTAAGAAAGAGTTATTCAAAATCACTGAATGGCATATTCCGTGATATATAGAAAAAAATGAATGAGATTTTGATACTGGGGCACCTAGAGTAAACATTGGATACATCAGGTTGTCGATGTTAGACCAAGCGCTCCGTGGGAGGCAACCCATGGTTATCTTTCTTATCTGTTTAGTGTGATTGTTGTCATGTTGGATTGGATAATAGTGAGATGTTGGACTTTGACCATGTTTGATGTGTAAGAGTGGATTGGATTAATGTTGTGAGGTAATTCCTTCGTCATGGCTAGGTTTGTATATGATTTCTGGTAGTAGCAGGCTGACAAGTCTTTTACAACTTAGTTCTCAACTGGAGCTGAGCATTACCTTGAAGCATGTAGAGTTTGGACTTGGACTACTCCATGTCAACTCTGTTACTTCATTTATCTGACTTTGTTATCAATGAGTAAGGTCATGAACTTACTTAGTGAACAACATCTGGATGAACTGCACTATTTTTATTTACGAGATTGTGTATACCTTATACTTAGAGTAACCCTGAAATTGACAACACATGAAGGAATTCTGGTCCATGGGTGATAACCATATAAAGTATTATATAACACCCACGTTAGTAGAGTAGTTTCTTCTGTTATAAATTGAAAGTAAGGATGGATAGTGTGAGTAGAAGGAAGATCGAACTAACCTCAGTTGTTGTTTGTTTTTGAGTCTGTGAATCTATGTATTGGAGTTTGTGTGTCTATGTTTGTGAGTCAATTTAATTGATTCATTGGAGATGACAAAACTTATCTCAATATTTTAAACTTATTAGCATTCAACAATTCCTTTATAAAATTTAAAATGTGTTCATGTTTAATCTTCAGTTTGTACCTGTCCTACTATTTCAAATTCCTTTATAATGTTATGTCAAGCATGTTCATGCTAGATTTACTTTCTACTATAATATTCTATCATGTGTTATTTGTTGATATTTTTGTAGGATGTGTAGTAAATTGTAAAAGTAATATTTCCCTTCCGCATATTTTTGTACTTCATTGTTACACATGTTTTAGCTTAAGTTTGGGGGAAAAGAAAAATGTTTCAAATTTAAACCTTACTTATTTTCAAAAGTACTACAAATAAATTTGTATTTTATTTCTAATGATTATTGTTATGTGGAGTCATCTTAAGGATGTTAGAATTTTAAGTATAGAAATGGAGTAGGAAAACTTGGTTGATATTTTTAGTGAAGAGGGTGAACCTAAAGTTAAGGATATTTAGTGGAGCACTTAGGAACATGAATAACTATGTTTAGTAGGAAAAATTGTATTTTTGAAAAATTAAGGATTTTTAGAATTTTTATTTCAAATATTTAAGGCTCTTTTAGAAATTATTTTTAAAAAAATACATCTTTTCAAGTGAAGGAAAGTAATAAGTTTTAACTTTAGAGGAGGATAGTGGAATTCAAAATTATTTAGGACTTCTCCAAATATAGTAATCCTCACATAAAAAAAAAGAGAATAAAATGATGGATCAAAAAGATCCTGAAAAAGAAAAAAAATGCAAAAAAAAAAAAAAATTAAAAAAAAAGTGAGGAGAAGCTTGGGAGAGGTCCTAATAAAAAATTAGTTTCACTTGAGTCTTTCTACAATAAAAAACTTAGAACAATCCTAAGCTTGATTTTTATACTTATATTAATAAAAATTATTTTTAAGAGAGTTCTTAAGTTTAGAAAGTAAAGTTTATAGGATCATAGGATCCGAAGTTTGAAAAAATCTGCATATATTTCTGAATTAGATAGGAAAACAAATTCTCAAGTTTGATGATAAATATTTTAGACCTTGGGCTAATTTGATTCACAAGAAGTTGTTCTAGTTTGAACTATCATATTTTTAGAACAAAATTTTAGTAATTCTAACGGATGACCCATTAACTCTAATCTACATAAATTATTTTAAAAATGTAGTATTACTTAAGGACAAGTAATATTTAATTTTGGAGGATTTTGATGTGCCTAAAAATGTACTAATTTTTATTTCATATTTTATAATGATATTGCACTTTAAATGTAAGTTATCTTGTGTTTTTGGTTGTAGGTACATCAAATTGAAGAATTTGGAGTGATTGGAGCAAAAGGAACAAAAATGGCCAAAATGAAACAAACCACACCAAATCGGGTCGAACCGGGGCACACCGAAGCTATGGAGGCTGAACCCAGACACTTAAGTGCTTGTGCCCGGTGCTTAAGTGACCAAAATGGCGCTTAGGCGCCACCAGACAGAGAGGAGGGCGCAAATCGGTGCTTAAGCGCCAAAATCAGTTTTCAACATATCTTCTAAAATATACATCGAATTTGAACGATTTTTGAAGCGTTGCCTCGTGCATCTCTTGGGGAATTCGTTGGAAATGAAAAAAGGGACTTTCTAGAAGGATTTGGGGTGATTATAAGGAGTTTTGAAGAGGCACTTAAGACACCTTTTGGAAGAGTCATTGAATCTGGACATTTTTTAAGAGACACTTAAGAATCCCTTGAGAAATTATAAAAAAAAAAAGGTTTGGAAATGTTTTTAAAATGACTTTTGGACTCTTGAATCAATTGGAAGAGGAGAAGAAGACTTGGAGAAGAAGAATAAGGCTTGGGCATGAGCCCCAATGAGGGCGACAATGTGAGAGAGAAAGAGAGAGAGTGAGAATTTCTTCTTTTCTTTTCACTTTGTTCTTAGAGAGGATTGTAAGGAGATTGCTTTTTCTATACAAGGAGAGTTTGATTTCCATCAAAGATAAGTATTTTCATTGTATTTGGTTTTGAATATAGTACTTTGTTTGTATGGTTTCAAAGTCTTGTTCAATGAAAAGTTCTTATTGTTTCTCCATGTGTAGTGAGTAGTTTTCTTTACTCTTCCCTCTTATAATGAATTAGTATGCATGTGTAGGATATATAATTGAGTAGAGTGAGAATATATTGCGATGATTTTACTTTGTTCTTCATTTACATGTAAAGCTGATCAACTTGCATGTTACAATCTGTTGCGAGAACATGTAAGATCAGTGATGGTGTTGTCTCAATCAACAGTAGTAGAATCACATGAGATTGTATGGATGAGAATGTAGTTCATATGGTTGAATGCAAATAAATAGGGAAATAATCTTTGATGGTTGTAGAATTAGAGAACTTTAGAGTAATAGATTAAAACCCCCTAATTTGGTTTATTGTTTTAGGTTTTGATGCGAGATGTTAGCCTCCAGGTGGAGGGATAAAAGAGAAATCTAGAGTGAGAGCTAGTATCTTCTCTATCTAGCCCGTCTTCAGAACTATTCAAACTTAGATTAACCAATGTTCTTTATAGCATCTCTAGTAAGGGCAAATAATATAATTGCTCCTATTTGTCACAATTTGTCTCACTACTTATTTTACTTTTTACACAAGTCATTAATTTCACTGCATGAGGAATGGTACTTTTAATATATTAAACTCCACTTTCTGATTTTCACTAAGTATTTTAGTTTAGAAGTAGAAGTAGAACTATTCAAACTCCGTGGGATCGATATTCAGAGCTTAATCAGAAAGTCCTATATTACTTGATAACGATATGTATGCTTGCATAAAATCCCTACTATTTAAAGATATAATTGAAACCTTACTTTGTTTGGGATCAAGTTTTTGGCGCCTAGTGGTGTCAACTTCATAAATCCTTACATATAAAAAATATCGGGATCAACTATCAATCTTTTTTTATTTTTCTTGGTTTAATTGTTACACCACTCCAATCTGAACAATCGAATAATAGTTCACTGATTAATTTTGTTATGAATTAATGGGTTTTTTTACTCCTATTGCTAACAGCACCCATCAAGCTATAAAGTGGAAGCCTTGTCAAAAAAAAATCATGAAATTTTCTAACAAACATAAAAGTTTTCAGAAATTACATATCTCGTCATTAATAAGACCACCAAACTAAATCTGTAGTCTTGAAGATGAAATGAAAATATTCCTGAGATGTTCATAAGCTTCCATGACCAAATCATCATAATCCCACTCATCTCTATATCTGTCTGGTTTTGCAGCCCTGTTTTTCCTATTTGCATGATACAAGAGCTTCCTCCAATCTTCTACTTGAGGATGCCCACATTCTCCTGCCAACCAATTCACATACTCAAACTGCAAAAACCAACAAAAATTATAGGTAGATTTATAAAACCATTGCCTTTTAAAAAATAAATAAAGAAAGAAAATTATAGGTATTTATATAAAAATTTCTAAAAGAAGAAGGATACATGGTAATTTTCAATATTATGCGTGTATCTTTTGGGCCGGCCAGCAATCTGCATTTCAAAATACAATTTTTTTACATCTTCCATCATTTCTTCTTGTGTCGGAAGTACTATCCTTCCTGATAGAACACCAGCAATCCACTTTCCTTGCAATTGAAACAATGGGAAAGGAATGATCTGAAAATAAGAACGGCTAATTTTATCTGACAAATAATGAGCACAAAATATTTTTCAGCTTTATCATATTAGAGTTGAGAAACAAAAAAATAAGATAAAATAAAAAAATAAATAAATAAAGAGAGGAAACCTTTGTGGTTAATCCAACGAAGGAAAGATATGGAGCCAGCAATGGCGGAAAGACATGCTTATAAAGAGGTCCTACTCGGTTGTCATCCACATTCACAATGCCGCTTGTTTTAAGGAAAGGAAAGTGATACTTGTATCTGCAGCATTTTTCAGATTTAGAGCATAATATTCAAAACAAATTCATTTAGAATAATAATATTTCAAACCATAAGCGATTTACTTCACCCTACTTAAATTGTTTTTTACATAATAGTTAGAACATTATTTTTAAAGAAAATTAAAATGATTTATTTTCATACATCTTTCATCATTCATCGTGAATTATTTTATCTTTCAACCTTAATAGTAATCAGACTATTCATATTATATATTCTTTCTTCAGTCTAGTCTGATCGCTAAAGATTCCATCCCCAACTACTAAGGGTGCGTTTGGGGCAGCTTGTGTTTATCCAGATAAGCAGCTTATTCTGAAACGTGGCTCGTAGGTGACCCGCGGGGTCCGACCCGTGGCTTGCGTTTAGTCTAAAAATACAACATCGTTTTCGTATAAGCTGCCGAAATGTGTTTTCTAAACGGTGATGCGGCGTTTTGGAAACGCGCTAAATCTGTGATATTTCTTATTTTTCATGGCATTCCAAGGCTTTAAAAATATAATTAAAGGGAATTACAGCTTATAATCTTACTGTGACCTATAGCAGAACTATAATTATAAATTACTTTAAAAACAGAGCGCTTATACCCAGTACAATGCATGATAACATCAACATTGGCAGAACTTCCATCTTGGAACAGCACAGTTCCATCACCATGCGCTTTCACAATCTACAGGAGACCAAAAGTGCAAGAATTATATTAGGAAATGACATGAAAATCATTTGAGATTAATGAAGCCAGCGGGGAAATCATAATAAACCTACATATATGGCATGGATGGCAAGGATTTGAGAGAAGAGAAGCTTACCATAGAATGAATAATAATGTTGTGATGGGCAGGATCCATGATGGGAGTTCCTCCAGATGCTGATCTGCTTGCAATATGAACTTCTTTTGCAAAACCAGCAATGTCTTTTGAGATATCCGCCGCACTTGCAGAACTTCCAATTATTACAACCACCTTTACATTTTAAGAAAATGAGTCCAGATCAATGAGGATGTTTTAATAAATTTGATTTATTTATTTATTTATTTTATTTTTTCATGGTCTAGATTAAGAAATAATGACATTTGATGGAGGAATAAAGAAAAAAAGAAAGAAAATAAAATTGTAAAGGAGGGTCATACCAGACCTAGAAAAGGCTCAGGAACTCTGTAATTGTGGCTGTGCATTTGCTTCCCAGGCCATGAATCAATGCCTGAAGAAGGCAGATGTTGATGTCAGAGTAAGTTTATATCAAATATGGATGGTTTTGGTTTTCTTAATGATTTTTTTTCTTTGGTATTATATATTTTAGCTTATGATGTTTTTAGCTAGGATTTTTTTTTTTTAGCGATTTACACACACAGCATATAATTCCTATGAATTTACATCGCCGCATGCAGAGATGTATGCGGTGTCTGATCCTGACCGTAGATCACGATAATCTACGGTCATGATGTATTTCAGTGGCACCACTTTAATTTTTTTTTTTTTCAAAAAAATTTTGATTGGATCCACGGTCAGGATCAAACACCGCATTCATCTCTGTATGCAGTGTATGTATGCAATAATTTTTCGTAGTGTAAGGGGGAGGGCTTACCTACATAGCACACAATTGTTCTCATGTATTTACATATCTCACACCTAAACAATCATATTTACACACATGACACTCAAATATTTAAAAATGACAAAAAAAAGCATTACTATCACTTTTTAAAAGTGAATTATCGACATATTACATCCTTTGGCGCTGATACACAGAGGTCTTTTTATTTTTCAGAGCATCAGGGCCCTCCATTTTTCTGCACGCAATATTTTATCCTGAATTACGAAAATCCTTTCCCTACGGCAATCGTACGCAGCTTGGTGTACGGTCCCTCAATTAAGACCGTAACCTACCAAAAAAGTGTATGACAGTGGGCCCAAATTTAAAAAAATTATAAATTTATTTAATTAAATATTAAAGACGTGGCTTAAGTTAATAAGAGGTCGTACCTACGGCGTTCGTATGGAAAAACCGCTCCACAATTACACCCTTCCATTCGTAAAAGATTGGAAGTTTAGGTGCAAGATATGTTAATAAATAAGAATTTATCAACAGTTGTGCATCACTTCAAAAGTTTATTAAGAGAGGTATATTAAAGATTTGAGAGTTATGCATGTAAATTTGAAAGTTTATGTGTTAGATATGTAAATAAATAAAATTTGTGTGCTATGTATGTAAATGGCCTTTTAAATTAAGAGCCATAATTTTCAAAACGAACCAACAAGCCATGCCGTATCTGTCAGTTTACATGCCGTATCTGTTAGATATGGTAAAAGAGGCATAGATGGGACAATTACATACATAGCACGTGAAACATTACTATTTACAAATTTAGCACCCTCATTCATCAATTTTAAACAAATTCTCAATGATTTTGATTGTGGCACGCATAACGCAGTGGCTCAAAGATTTCATCTGGTGTTAGTTTTGTAAATTGCAATTTTTTTTGTGTTTTGTTGATGTAATTGTGGCTGCCTCTCCATTGATGATAGTTTGATTTTGTGTCGAGTTAATTTGACTTTAAATTGCTCGATTCCAGTCAATTAGGTTTAGTTAATTTTAATCTAAATTTGAGTCGAGACAAAAATTTCTCTGATTTCAATTGATTTATAAACCAAACTATACATAGATATACTTATTTATAAGAAATTTTACAAATTTAGGAAGGAGGATTGCATCAGGATTCCACGTGTACAGTTACGTGCAAAGTCCAATGAAATCAGGCGACGTGAAGGTACAAAAAAAAAAAATCGACCCGGTAACACGGAAATATTCACACTGTGTTATTCTGCGTTATTCAGGTATTATTGTATGTTATTCAAGAGTTTGTGTTCTGAAAATATTCTCGGTGTTATAATAATACAATAACACATCAATAACACTTGAATAATACACAATAACACCTGAATAACACATAATAACACTGGAATAACACGGGAGGAATATTCTCTTATGTTACCGGATAGATTTAATTTTTTCTCCTGTCACCGTCGCGTGGCGTGATTTCATTGGATTTCGCATGTAACTCTACATGTGGAGTCCTGATGCAATATTTTCTCCAAATCTAGACACATAGATATGAAGATCAAATCTCAAATTAGGTCATTCGTATTTGAAACAATACATGGTCCATTCGAAATACCTAATTTTTTATTGTTTTTATATTCAGTTGTTGAAATTTAGCTGTAGAAATCATTGCTAATTTGTGAGAGGATTGTAAAGAAAATAAAAATTAAATAAGGAAAATAAAAGATTCCTCACGACCTTTTTGCTGGCTACCATGGGCTGAACCAGACAACCTTAAAACAACGATTTCGTGGCGCTTTTATTCTATCATTAAATGCTATGTAAAGCATTGATTTCACTATATATATATATATATATATATACACATATCTACATATATGTGTATCTATACATACATATTGATACGTGATCAATAAATTTTTATTATCTAACAAGAATCTTGATATATTTTTTTTTTTAACAACAAACATTCAAAATTAAAATTCAAGATCAATCTGACTTCAATCAAGTCCATATCAAGTAATTAAAGCAAATTTGGAGTCTTAGATTCGTTAATTGAATTGTCAAATTCACTCCACATTTCACATAATTATAGTCAAATTGAGTGTCTTGACGGAAGAATCCAACGACGTAAGCTCGTTTATTTCTGAAGCCATTAAGGCCATCAAATCTTTGAAAACCTCCCTTTAATCAAGGGTGATCAGTATCGACAGTCCAATCAAGTGGTTATGGGACTTATTGCCCAAATGACCAAAATGTCCTTCCCCATAGGCTGTAAGTAAATCCTTTCTCTTCACTTAAGAGGAGGAGGAGAATGTGTCAAATCTCAATGATATTTGAAGACCGAACGATAACTTTCAAACTCCGTAGTCGCTGACCATTATCGACCACAGTAGGCTGCCACCTGCTCTCCATTTTCGGCGTGTTTGCTTAAGAAGCATATTGAATATGCTGCAATAAAATATCACAAATAAAAAGTTTTATCCTTATGTTTTATACTAAAAAGTGATGTCTCTGGCGTAAAATAGTAAATCCGAAAAAAAGGTTGCAGCTACCAATCAGTGTCACACAAACTACGATTTATGTGACTGAATATGACTTATGTAGCTAACTACTGCTGCTGACTACGATCTATATAACTAACTATTCCTGTAAGTACCGACAATGATATTGTGATAACTATAATCTATGTAACTAACTACTGTTACAGCTACTGATTATGGACTGTGTAGCTAACTACCACTACAGTACCAATTATGTCTCATGTGAGTAACGAAGTCTTATGTAGCTAATTGTTGCTGCAGCTATCAAGTACAACATTTGTAACTAACTACGACCTATGTAGTTAAGTACCACTATATCTACCAATGACTATCTATGTGAACACCTATGATCTATATGGTTACCTGCTACTGTAGCTTCTAACTATTACCTCTGTGACCAACTAACGCTACTGCAACAACCAACTACAACCAATGACCAACTACGATCTGTGTGGCTAACTGCTACTCCAACATCTCACTACGGTCGCTTTGGCCAACTTACGTTACAATAACTATCAAGTATTGCATATGTGACAAATTACTACTATAATCACTGATACACCTAAAATATATAGTCTTTATGTACACATTTTTATACCTATTTTTTAGATATTGCGATTTAATGAAACATATTTGTGTGTTTTTCATTAATGTACAATAAAATAGATGAAAATTAATAAAAAGAGTGAAAAAAGGATCAAATTTGGAGCAAAAATGAGAATGTGCAAAAATAAACTGGGGCGCCTAAGTGCCAAGGACCGACGCTTACGCGCCAGTTAAATAGAGAGAGCCACGCCTAAGCGTCAGGTACCCCGCACTAAAGGTCAAAAGTAGTTATTTGATGTTTCATTGAATTTGGACAAATTTTTGAAGAGGTGTTTGAAGCAACCCTTGGTAAGAACGTGGGGAATAGTTAATGAACACGAAAATTTATTCAATTGACTTTTGAAAGGGGGCAACTTCTAGAAGATTCATTGAATGTGGACACATTTTGAAGAGACACTAAGGTAACTCTTGGATTTTTATAAAAGTAAACTTGGGATATCCATGGAGGAGGCCAATCATCATCTATCCATCCAGACCGACCAGTGTCAACCACCACATACGCTGCCGTCGCCGCCCACCTTTTCTTTTTATTTTGAGCTTTAGTTTGTTTTGTGAGTGAAGGAAAAGATTCAAAGGAACTTCAAGAAAATTGGTGGAGAGGAATTTGAGATAAGGCTTTATCTTTGTGAATACATTTGATTTTAATTTAGACTTCTTGTTTGTGTGCATGATTTCTACTTTTAAACTCAAGTGTCTCGTTGTGTTTTCTCCATGAATTTTGTGTAGTTTTCTTTATCTTTTTCCTTAAAAAGATAAGTGATTAAGTATTGGTGGGAAGTTGTGTGAAGTATTAGACTTTAATGTTGGAGGAGGTTGTGATGATTTTAAACCTTGTTAAACCTTGTACTTCATTTACTTCTTGATTTGACCATTAAAAATGTTAATACATGTTGTGAGAACATGTAAAATCCGAGATGATATTATCTCAGTCAACAAATGATAAGAATCACATTTGATTTCATGGATGAGAATGTAGTTCATTGGGTTGAGTACAAATAAATAGGGAAATAAACTTAGAAGGGTGTAGAATTATAGTACTTTAGAGTGACAGACTAAAGCCCTTAATTTGATTTATAGTTTTAGGTTTTGATACGAGATGTTAGCCCCTAGGTTGAGGGAGAAGAGTGAACTCTAGAGTGAGAGCTAGTGTCGTCCTTACTTGACCAGTCTTCAAGGCTATTCAAAATATAGATTAGTCAATGCTCTTTATAGCATCTCTAGTAAAGGTAAAGAATATTATTATTCCTATTTAGCACAACACAATTAAAATACTTTCACAACATAATTTTTATACTTGTTACTGATTCATGATAAGAAAAAATATATTTTATTTATATTGAATTCATCTTGCAAATATCTAGTTAAATTAATTATTTACTTACTTCATTTTCAATTATCAAAAATTACAAAAAGAATTGAACCTTTCATTCCTATTATAACATCTAGAGTTCAAGTAAGAATATTTTGCTAAGTAAAATTTTGTTATCTATGTTCTCTTGTTTCGTAAAATGCATATTGTAGTTATCCCTGTGGGTTTGATATTCGAGGCTTAATCAAAAAATCTTATATTACTTGATAACGATACATATACTTATATAGTATCTCATATTTAAATATTATATCTGTATCTTATTCTCTTTGAAGTTAAGAATTTTTCAAGCTTTTGCTTGGGATCAAGTTTTTTTTGGCTTTGTTGCAAAGTAAGAATTATAATTAAGTAAGTTAAAATTATAATCGCATACATCGCATTAGCATCTATAAAGACAATTGACACCATGTTTTTCACGCCGTTGACGAGGATAATTAACGAATATTGCAAGATTTTTAAGGAAATTTTTAGAAAGCAAATTTTTATTTTGATAAAGTCTTATTTAAATTTTTAGATTTATTATAGGAATATTGTAGTGTTGTTTTTTATATAAAGTTCTTGTTTGTGTGTTTTATTTTATGTGTTTTGTAGTAATGTATGCGTAGTTCTGGTTCCACAGTACTTGTGCCCTTAGAATCTGAATTAGAAATAACCATTAGAAAAATTAAAAAATTTAAAATTACTGAAAAAAATAAAAAATTTTAAGAAACAACAAGTCAAAATAATCAAAATGTTGAAGAGTTTAGACCTTTAAGAGATTGTGCAAACCCTACGGTGGATGAATTTCATTGCAGTAGTCGAAAACCCACTGTAGTGACTAATTCATTTGAACTTAAACCCACTATTATCCAAATGGTATCAAATAATCAGTTTGGGAGAGCACCAACTGAAGATCCAAATTTTCATCTTGCTAATTTTCAAAAATTGTGTGCTATATTTAAATATGATGGTGTATCAGATGATATTATAAGACTTAGACTTTTTCCTTTCTCACTGAGAGATAATGCTAAGATATGGTTACATTCGTTAGCACTTGGATCTATCAGAACTTGAGGTGATTTAGCGCAGAAATTCCTTGCTAAATATTTTCCACCATCCAAAAATGCAAAGTTTAGAAATGATATTACATCTTTTTGTCAGTTTGAAGGGGAATCTATTTATGAAGCATGAGAACGATTTAAAGAACTACTGAGAAATTGTCCACACCATATTATATCAGATTAGTTAATAATTCAAACATTTTACAATGAATTAGTTGGATCTCTTAGATCTATTATCGATGCCATTGCTGGTGGTTCATTGATGTTAAAACCATTTCGTGACGCTTATGCTTTAATTGAAGAGATAGTTACTAATAATTTTCAATGACCTTCTGAAAGGGTAAATCTTAAGAAAATAGTCAATATTCATGAATCTGATGCTTTTACAAGTGATTATATCCTCCAACCGGTGTAACTAACTATGACATATGTAGCAAAGTGTTACTGTAGTGACCAACTATGGCATATGTGACTAATTATAGTCTTTGTAGCTAACTACTATTATAGCTACCAACTAAAACCTATGTGAGTAGCTACAACTTATATTGTTAAATGCTACTACATTTACTTATTAATACTTATGTGGCTAACTACGACCTATATAGCTGCTTGCAACTATTGTTACTGACTACTGCTTGTGTGACTAAGACATATATTGGTAACTGCTACTGTAGCTACCAACTACGACCTATGTAACTATGACCTTTGTAGTCAAGTGCTAATACAACTACAGAGTATGGTCTTTGACTAACAACGACTTATGTAACTAACTGCTATGACATATGTGATGAACTACAGCCTGTGAAGCTAAATGCTACTATAGCTACCAACTACGACCTATATGAACAACAATTACCTATATGGCTAATAAATTTAGCTTTTAGCAATGATCTCTTAGCCAACTAAAACAATTGCAACTATGAACAAAGCCTAATTTAACTCACCATGCCATATTGCATAACTACTACTACTATAACTTTCAACTGTGAGCTTTGTGGTCAATTGATGTTACTACAACTACTAACTGTCTCCTACATGACCAACTACAATCTATGTGGTTAACTACTACTACAACCATCTACTATGACCAATGCGATAAACTATGACCTATATGAAAAATTACTATAACAACTTTCTGTTACAGTCTCTATGGCTAACTAATGCTCTTATAGTTATAAATTAGAGCCTATGCGGCCAGTTCCTACGATAGATTTCCACCACGATCTTTGTGTTTGATTAACAATATTATGGCTTCCAACTATAACTTTTGTGGCTAACTGTCACTATATCAACCACCACTTAAGGCTTCTGAGGCCAATTGCCACTATTGCAACCACCACTACAACTTTCATGATCAAACACATTTTTTGTCTTCCAACTAAGGCTATGTAATTATGAGCATTTTAATTCCATCTCCAATTCAGGAGAAGAACATACCCAAGTACTTACAATATTATAATATATTATTTTATCGGGCTAGACCCCATGATTTTTTTCCTTTCAGAGTTTTTAGACATAAAAATGCCTTGGAGTCTCTTCCAGCTACTTTCTAGTTATTTGTGTGTCCGTTGAATTATCGTAAAATGCTAAGATGTCAATAAGGTCAAACTTAGGTAAATTTAAGCAAATTTAAATTGAGGCTATGAATTATTATTATTATTATTATTATTTGCCGGCAGGATTAGAAATGAAGAATATACCTGGAATCTCAGCTACACGAGGCTCGGAGTAGTGCCCTACGCATACGACAACCGCATCGAACACCTCCCTCTCATCCCCAACAGCGCCGGCAACCGTCCTCGACACCACCTCCCACCTTCCCTCCCCTTCCATTTCCACGCGCATCACTTCGCTCCCAAACCGTACAAGCCCGCACAGCCCCGAATCCCTCGCAAAAGCCTTCAAATACCGAAGCACCTCCCGATGGCCTGGAAATCGCCGGCAATCTTCTTCTCCGCCTACGGAGATGAAGGGGTAGTCCAAAAATCCCATGGATTCTCGAGGAATATTTGTGCGGAGAGAATCGTAGAGGCTCGAGTGGACGATCTCGCGGTCAGGATCGAGACTAAGGGGGTCCGATTCGACGGCGGCGGAGTAGATCCAGGCACCTCCGACATTGGCCGATCGTTCGAAAACGGCGACGGTGTGGCCTTCACGCCGGAGCTCGCGGGAGGTTGAGAGACCTGCTGCGCCGGCTCCGATGACGGCGACTCGGCGAGTGGATGGCATGATCGGTGCGGGGGTGAAGGTCGATCCGGGGATAGGGTTGGAAGTATGGCGAACCAGCAGGGGAGAAGTTTGGGGAAGTCCAAGTGGAGTGAGGAGAGTGAAGATACCGTCAGGCGCGAGAAAAATTATTAGCTCCTAATTCATTGGAGCATCACGTGTTAAGGGGTTTTATCATTTTTAAAACTGATTATATCACAGTGGGTCCATCTAACACGTGGCATTTCACTGTTGGACTTCGAAAATTACGATAGGATAAATAATCTCTTATTTAATTTTATATTTTTATTTAAATAAAACATTAATATTATATATATATATATATATATATATATATATTACATGCCACCAAATTTCTAAGTATTTACAAATATAACACGTAAAGGTTAAATACAAACCAACGAAATTCTACGTATTACATATATAACACTTAAATGTTAATTAAGTACATTTATATTATCCAAATTTTTCATATCACATAAAAAATTTTATAGTTTAAAAGTTTAGAAAAATATAGAATACACATTTAAATGCGGAGGTGAAGTCAACTTTAAAATCAAAGAATTAGAACAGGGAATTCTCATATATTTTCATATCTGATGTCTAGACTTTCTTCTACTGCACAAATTCAATGGTTTCAAGGGAAAAAATTAAAGTAAATTCACCATTCCAAAGTGTATGCAGCAAAATGGCCGGCGTGATCTCAAAGCAAATCCAATGGCCAAGGATGATGGCTAGACCAGTGAAGCGTCGGGCTAAAGAAGTGTAATCTGAAACGGTCATCCAACGACCGACCGATCAATCCAATTGTCGAACTCTTCTTACGGCCTTAGATGTCTGGACTTCTTGCAATACGTCCGATCACAACTATTCGACCGTCTGGCTTTACCTTGGCAGGAGCAATCATCAAGTAACCGGTCGTCTCTATCGATCAAATTCAAATATGAAGATCGGCTGATAGTCATTGTATTATACCAAAATTTTATCGCAAATCTATTAGTAAATGAGCACATTAATTGCATTAAGGGAAATTTCCATAATCGTTAACTACTTTCTGTAATTAAAGACTGTTTCCATAATTACTCCCTCCTTTCTGTAATTAAGGGTGATTTTCATAATCATTTCCTTGCTTTCTGTAATTAAGGGCGGTTTCCTTAATCGCTCTCTCATTTTTGTAATTGTACAAATATGTCTCTATAAATAGGAGACAAAATATGAATACAGAAACTTTTTTCTGGTCTCTTTACTCAGAATTCTCTAACTATCTTACTCTTTTGCTCTTCCTCCTTCTCTTGCCTCCAACTCTCAAAGCGTGTCTTTCCAAAGGACAACTTAGATTCAACATCCTAAAAAATGGAGCGGTGAACGTGGACAAGTCCCACATGAGACGCAGAGCCAACTACGAAGCATAAACCTTATAGAGGGATGTGGTACCCATGGAATTTAATAGAGAAATGGTGTGGAGAGACATCCAGGAAGAGATTCAGGTGTTGTGAGTGTAGATAATGGACTGGTTTGAGGCCCTCAAAGTGTCCATAACTTAGAGTAACTTTCAACCACCACTCTCGGAAGGAGAATCTTGGGGAACTTGCTCTCAGAATGTACCTCACAAAGATTCACCCACACCAAACAGTTAGTTTGGCGACCGATCGTCTGAAGAGCAGGGGGACTCCCAACCTGCGATAGTGCAACATCTACACCGATGATCAGGCTCTAAGGGAATCGAAGAGGAGTGCCTGCTTGACAGACTGCAGGAGGGGCCTTCTCTCGATGAATCCTAGAAACTATACCCCCGACAAAGCTAAGGATTCCCCATCTGGATCCTTACAAGAGGAAGAGCAACCCGACGGTCCACGTGGCTTTCTTTGAATCGTTGGTTGGAATTCTGCAGATCAATGATGCTTTGAAGTCTCGAATCTTCCTGACCACACTAAAGGAGGCCACATTTTGATGGTTCAACAACCTGTCAGATGGGATCATCACATCCTTCTACGAATTTAGAAAACTCTTCTTCTTGCAATTCACCAACATGCATAAGCCATGAAAGGATATTGAGACCCTTTTTTAGATCAAGAAAGGAGTGAAAGAGAGCCTAAGGGCTTAGATTACTCACTTTCAAAAGGAAATGCTGGAGGTGAATTTTTTGGAGCCTCTCTTTACGCAGACTGCCCTAAAACAGGGGATCCTTAGCAAACGATTCATGCATGACCTAAACTTGCTCAAAACAAGATCATTCTTCGAGGACTTGAAACTGGCCAATGACCATTTCACTGCTAAGGAAGTCCCTATGGACTCCTCGGAAACCAAACCAGAATCATCTGACAGATGGACACAGATGCAGAAGGATCGGGACGACAGAAAGCATCAGAAAAGTGATTGAGCCCAGGACATTCGGCAGAACGACAACCCTTGGTCCCAAGAAAACCAAGGAGGTAAATGTAACAGCAAAGGTCGGAGGTACCACACTAATCAATGTTCGGCACAATATTATGAGCAACTGCACATATATCAGGAAATACATAATTCTACACCCTTGAACGTGTCGATGGTTGAGCCATTTCAGGCCATTCAAAATAAAAATTATTTCAAAAACGCCCCTCCATTATAAATCACACCGACTCTTCTCAATCCAAACAAATATTGTGCTTACCATAGGGACCATGAACATGACATGAAGGAGTGTCGACATCTCAAGAATTTGGTGGAGGAACTCATCAAGGTTAGGAAACTAAAGGAATGCGTCATTGTTGAATGACACACATAAGGACGGGGGATTGCTCCAACATAGGAGCCCACAGACGGACCCACTGAGAAAAGGTAATCCACCTATCTGGGATCATTCCGGCTTTCTTTAGAGGAAATAGAGTCTTTCAGATGGTCACTCTGAAAAGACACTGATCGGGAGAGGTATGTTCCATTGCATTTTACACTTGTACTCATCCTCCAATCATTTTTACAAATGCAAATCTCCCGCCAAAAGGGAACCCATACAACGAGGCAATCAACATCACGACTCTCATAAACAAATACCAGGTGGGTAACATCCTGTTCGATACTGGGAAGTTTGGTAAATAATTTATTTAAAATAATGTTCAACAAAATTAGACTCAAAATTGATCAATTGGTGACACTGATTAGTCCATTGATCAACTTCTCTGGTGAGAGGAATAAAGCCTTGGGCATTGTAGTATTGGTCATCTCATGGGATGAGCGAGGAAAATAGTTCACCAACATGGAGGACTTTCTAGTGGTGGAGTCCCCACCAACTTATAACACGATCTTTGATTGACCTTTTCTGAATATCTACCAAGCAGTGGCTTCAACATACCACGTGGTTGTGAAGTTTTCCAACGATGGGGAAATAATCATGGTCGGAGGGAACCTAGAGCAGTCCAGAAGCTACTATCTTCAAGCGGTCACAGTGTCGACCACGAGCCACTTAAAATTTAAATCCATAAGGAAGGATGTCTGGAGCTTAATAATTTTTTTTAATCAGTGAATACTTTGATGCAGAACATACAGACCTGTAGATCCGAACTCTTCGCACGCATTAGGACATATTCGCCTGGAAAATCACATAGATGATTGGACTCATGATCAACGTCCCATGCCATCAGCTCAACATCAAACCCTTCACTCAACCTGTGCAAAAAAAAACTTTGATTGATCGGAAAAACTTTGTTTGAGCCAATAACAACAGAGGTCCAGAAGGTGATAGATGCATGTTACATCCAAAAGCTGCAGTACCTGACTTCGCTCTTGAACTTTGTAATTGTTCGGAAGCCCAACGACAAATGGATAATGTGTGTCGACTTCACTAACCTCAATGCTTCCTGTTTGAAAGACACCTATCTTTTACTGAGGATCGACACGTTGGTTGACGCGATAGTCGGCTACTCTGTGATGAGTTTCCTTGATGTCTTCCGCTTATATTACTGCATAAGGAGTTTTTTGTTTCAATATAATGCATTTTGGGCTAAAAAATTCTGGGGAAACCAATCAACATCTCATGGATGTAATTATTTCTAGTCAATAGAGAAAGAATGTTGGGGTTTGTGTCGATGATGTCCTAGTAAAAAGGAAGATATATATATATATATAGAAGGATTTAATTCAAGTAAAGTGTATTAAAGACTAAACACTAAAAAGTACTTTTCTTATAGAAATATATTCAACATAGGTGAGTGAGCTATTTTGATAAGCATTTCAATATTATTTCTGAAAATACAAACAACCTTAGTGATCTTAATATAGTAATAATAATATATTTTTTTTTTGTCGTTGCATTAATAAGGAAAAGTTGAGGAGTCTTTAAAGAAAAATCAAGAGTGAAAAATTAGTAGGATTTGATGATATCTCAAGTGAAGTGTGGAAACTCTTAAAAGATTTGAGAGTTTCATAATTTATCAAACTCTTTATTATTATTTTAAAAACTAAAAAGATGCTTGAGGAGTGGAGTAGAGGAAGAGTATTTTGGTCACCTTTTTTAAGGATAAAGATGATGCACAAAAGTTTGAAATTATATAGGAATTAAGTTGATTTGCCATGCTTTAAAGTTATGGGATAGGGGTAATTAACTTGGGTTAAGAGGTGATATGAATATTTCTCATAATCAGTTTGGATTTATGTTGGGCAGGTGTACTATGGAAGATACATTTATTGAGAGGTTTGACAGAGAAGTAGAAAGAGAAGAAGAATAATCTACATATGATTTTTATTGATTTTGAAAAAATTTATGTTACAGTTTCAAGAGAAATCCTTTAGAGAGTTTTAGAGAAGAAAGGTATTGATATGACTGATAGTAAAGTAATTAAAGATATTTAAACTAGAGATATTACTTGTGTTAGAACAAAAGGAGGATTGACAAAGTATTTTTCCTATTTTAATTGGATTAAAGTATGGATTGTCTTTATGCCCATATCATTTTACTTTAGTTATGGATGTTCTTAATGTACATTTATCGGAGAATGTGCCTTGTTGTATGCTTTTAACTGATGATATCCTTTTTGTGGATAAAACTAGAGAAATAGTTCAGAAAAAAACTTCAATTATGGTGGTCTACACTAGATTTTAAGGTCCTTTGCATGAGTAGAACTAAAACTGAATACATGGAATGTAATTTTAGTTGTAGTAGTTTTAGTGGCAAGGTTGTAACTATGGGTGATTAAATCATTAAAAACTATGAACGTTTTAGATATGTCAAATCCATTGTTCAAAGTGATGCTGATATAAATTTGGATGTTATTAGTACAATTCAAGTTGGTTGGTTGAAGTGGAGAAATCCATCAGGTCTATTGTGTGATAAAAAAAGTACCACTTAGATTGAAAGGAAAATTTTATAAGATGGTGGTGAAACTTGCAATGCTCTATGGCGCAGAATGTTGGCCTTTAAAAGACAAGCATAAAACGAAGATCAAGTTTTGCAGAGATGAGAATGCTTAGGTGAATGAGTGGATTGACACTTAGATACAAAATAAGAAATAAATATATCCGTGATAGGGTTGCTGTAGATCCATTAGCGGACAAGATTAGAGAGAGTCGCCTAAATTTTTCACATTAATGTATATGTTTTAGATTCAACTTATATTAAAAAAGACAGAAGGTAGACCTTAAGAAACTTGGGCATACTATATAAAAAATGGTTTTATTTGTTAGGATTAAATGAAAATATGATACTCAATAGGACACAATCAAGAAGAAAGATTCATGTAGTCGACCCCAATAAGTTGGATAAATGTTGTTGTTGTTGTATAACCCTATTTAAATAAAATACAATCCTAATTAGTCTGGACAAATTAAATTATGTGAATTGAGAGCTTCATATTACCAACACAGTAAGAAAGGATTCAAATTGTTTTATATATTTCATATGAAAGTTATCGGGTCTGCGCTAACGCTGATATTTTTTTATTAGAATATGATTCAAATATTAAATGATTCAAAAAATTTAATTTGATCCCGACTAATCTGAACTTGACTTGCGTGACTAGTTTAACATATGCATAACAATTATTTAGAACAATATAAGACTGGCAGGTCAACCGAAACTTGATACAAGAATTAACTACGTTAAATTTTTAATTCAAATGCAGCCCAAACATTAATTAGTTCATCCTCAACTGCAACTTGATAAAAGAACTAAACATGTTGAATTTTTAATCCAAACGTAACCCAAAAATTAATTGGGTTATTCTGAACCACAATATTTCAAGTCGACTTAGCTTGTAGGCACAGATGGAGCTATAATGGGCACATGCCCCTACTGGTCTGGCCCTATATATAAAGGAATGACCGAAGACTATTATACGAGCTCTGACCATCCCTCATGCGCCTAAAAATTCGACTACCACACCTTACACTCGGTGAGTATCGAACCCCAGACCAGAGGGTGCTTATAATTGACAAGCAGATGCTCGACTAATTGATCTAAGTATGCGGCGCATATATATATAATAAAATATCTGTTTCGAAGAAAAGAAGATTGGGGCGGTTGCTCAAGCTTTGACTCAAATGGAATCGAACTTCTTGGACGGTGTTCAAGCTTATTGAGCTTTTAAGGCTTTACAAATCATAGTGTTTTATTTCTTCAAAAATTAAATTTATAATTTAAAGCCTTTCCAAAAATAAAAAAAATTCCCAACAATCTCTTTTTAATGTTATGCCATTCAATTTAAAAAACATTATTCACTTATCTTCTTAAGAAGTGGGACTAAAAAATGGTAGAAAGATAAAACATTTAACAAAAAAGTTTTTTGGGTATAAATAATTATTATTTTTATACATTTCAAATTTGCATATTTTTTAGGATTTGAAAAGCTAAATGTTGCACTAAAATATGCATATTAATTTTTGAAAATCAAATGTTAAATTTTGGGATTAGTTTTTTTAATTGGTTTTTTAGTTAAATTATAATTATTTTTGTTAATAATATAAAAGTAATTTAATTTTAAATTAAATTTTAATCATGTTTTATTTAAATTAAATTTTATTTTAAATTAAAATATATATTAACTCTTAAGTCACTATCAAACTTTAATTGAACAACTTAAGGAGATTACTGACAAGCTTATTTTTTATTCTTTAATATTAAGAAAATATCATAATATTAAGTGTTAAAATGTTTACTATTTACATATAATCAAAATATAAATTATCATAAATTTTTGTTCTAATTAGTCAAGATATTTTAATCTAATACTTTTTAAAATTTTTTGATTAATTTTTTATTTTTGTAAAAGAAATTATTAAACGTATAATCATTAAATTTAATAAATTTTTGGAGATTATAAATAAATGAATAAACTTTTACTATTGAAATTAATAAGATATGTAGTATTTTGATCTGATGGAAATGATTCAGAGCTTTTTAAAGAAGCAATAACTGGATTATAATTAAATAATTTTCATGTATTGACTCCCTAAGTTAACGCGTATCTCTCCAAAGGGCATTTGAAGGTGCGTTGTGATAATAAATTTGTCTAATAAAAGATATCATTATCGAAGTTAATGACAAGCGGACCTACCGAGATACCAACCTTATATTTGGAGAAAATATTCTGTCAGGACACTGCACGCCCGAACGGCCAACTACCAGCCGACACGACAACATACACCTCATCGGCGGGCGACGTGACGGCCGTCCGAACGTGCGGACATTCAGACGCAATAATTCTTCTTATATTAGAGACTCTCATCATCCTAGCAATCATTTTATTATTCTTAGAAAAAATAGAAAATACTAATAACACCCACCAAGCATGATTCTAATCTCCCAAACTTCATTAATTTCGTAGTGTATCCTCTTAATAAACCCCGTTGGGCTTTGCAATGACCACCTTAACAATAACAAAGCAATATAATGGCATTCAATTATATTAATTAGTTTTAAGTACTTACTCTTGTTTCTTTTAATAATACAATGTTATTATCTATAAAGCTTATAAATTTTTAGAGAAAAATTGGGCTATGCTAACAATTGCACATTCCAACAAGTGACTAGTCAAATAGAACATACATATTATTTGGCTTGACATTTTTACTTTGGAAATTCCCTTAACAATTCTTCAACATCTCTTCAAGACTCAATCACTTAATTAATGTTGATCATATTGTAACTATATGTTATCATTATATTTAGTTTTTGGATAAGAAATGTTATCATGCATGCAGAACATGATTTTATAACATTTTAACTTGAGAGTTTTCTTAATAACATTTTAACTTTTTCTTCTAACTTCATCCCATTTTCTTACATTTTTTAATAACTATAGTACATCATACCTATTACCATTTTTCTACTTATATATTTCAATTATATTTACCCACATTTTAATCAAAAATTATTGCATCTAATGTAATTTATATGAGATGTCCAATTAAAATTGCCCATATTAAAATGTTTTTTAAAGGTGTGAGACTCATTCTAACACATGACCGTTTTAATTGGACATCGAATACAAATTTACATTATGACATGATCTAATAGTTCTTCTCAACCCAAAGGCTGGAACGTGATTCGTGCTTACAACGTGTTCAATATATACACATACTACACTTTCGGCTCCCTCAAATCGCCTCAGCAATCTCCGGCGATCTAAGATTCATCGCCGCCATCTCCTCCGATGCCGACCACAGTCTCGCGGCCTCCTTTCTGTTTTCCGCAGCCTTAGAAGGCGCGGACAAATTGCAGTCAGAAAAGTATTTCCCGGTCACCCCAACCAAGTCTGAGCTCGCCGCCACGTAACACGTTGTCGCCGCTGCCTGAGGAATCGTCTTCAGAACCTTCGATGTTATGAAGAACGCAAGATCTGAAAACCAGAGAAAGGGATCATTCACCGCATTCAAAATCAGAAGAATCAAACCTCATGAAGGATCCACCGATCGATCGATCACCTGTGAGAAAACCCTCGCGTTCTCGGGTGAGGCGAGTTCTCACGATCCCGGGATGCACGCAGTTCGCCGTCACATTCGCTCCCATTTCCTGGCATCAGAAAAATAATCTCAGATCGATCAGAACAGAGCATCGATTGGATCAGCCAAATCTTAAAGCGAACTCCGCAACTAATTACCTCCAGCTTTGCTGCGAGCTCTGCAGTATGGAGGACGTTGGCAAGCTTGGAGAGCGCGTATGTCTGCGTGGCGTCGTAGGGTCTGCAGATCCCGACGAAACGAATCAGGTAAATAAAATGAGCGGAAGAGAAGAGCAAAAACAGAAGGCTTACATTTTCTTGCGGGTGACGAAATCGAGGTATCGGAGAACATCGCCGGTAAACCATGTATGGATGCCGGAAGAGATGTTTATGATTCGGCCTTGGATCCCGGTAATCCTCGCGGTGTCCGCCATTTTCTCCATTAGAAGCTTCGTTAACAGAAAGTGGCCTAATCCAAAGAGGATCGATCAGTATAATCATTTAGCTTCCGAGGAATCAAAAATCATGGCCGTACGCAGATTCCTACCGAGATAATTTGTGGCGAAAGTCATCTCGATCCCGTCTTCAGATAACGCGTAATTATGCGAAAATTTGCCCGCATTGTTTCTGAATCCATTAAAGAGAATAACAATCATAAGCAACTGAATTCACTTCTTCTTTCCATAAGTTCAGGATGGGGATTATTTACATGAGGAGATTGAGGGGAAGCTGCAGAGAGAGGAATCTGGACACGAAAGAGCGAACAGAGGAAAGCGAGCTGAGGTCAAGCGGAAGCACAATGATCTCAGATTCAGGGAACTCGCCATTGATGCGAGCCTTGACCTCCTGCGCAGCCTTGAGACTCCTCGCAGGTATCAACAGCCTCGCCCCACGCTTCGCCAACACGCGTGCCGTCTCCGCACCGATCCCCGACGTCGCTCCTGCCATAAAAAATAGTAATCGAAAGTTCGAAACTTGATTGCTGTAGCTTGAAAGAGACAAGTTTGACAAATTTTACCGGTGATAATGGCTGTTATTGATCGAAGGTCCGGCGATGCATTGGTGACCTCCTCCGCCGTCGACTTGGATCCGAAACCGCTACTCCCGGCGGAGCCGATGAGGTACCTTGCCGTCTCAACCATTTTGTATCTGTTTTTCTTTTCTGGATAGTGGATAAAGAAGCCTTGCATCTATATATAGTTGGAGGAGGGGAAGAAAAAGGGAAGAATTTGTCGAGTAACTTCCATGGCCACGTCCTTGTCAACATCTAGGGGATGCTGCAGGCACAGTGGCTGTCCAAAAAGGAAGGGAATGCGCAGCCCAATGGTTCCAGAAAACCATTGTCATTGTCCAAATGAAGATTTTTTTGGGGAAACGTGACCCAAAAGGGAATTTTTTATTTGATAAAATCAAGCTTAAATTCCTACTTCCAAATTCAGGATGGGAAATTACATGAACAATTATAATGCCATCCTACTCAAATGTTATGCTGCACAAAAAAATATTTACATAAAATATATTGAAGAATGGTTGTGTTATCTTGAGTAAAATTAGATATATTCATAATTGATAACTAAGAGAATTTGAGGGGCTACTAGTAAAAATAAAATTGAAAAATATAGAAATTTATATACATACCATACTATTCTTATGTAATTGCATATTTACCACTTTCATTTTTGTATTTATATTTATGCCACTAAAATACTTTACATCACATCAAAAATATGGCAAGTAACATTTTCTTAAATGTGAAATATATCTTTCGATGCATAAGTTTATATTGAACTTTGGGATATGTAAACACATGAATTGTGTGGTAAGCAAGTAAATTTCCCTAGAAAATAGAATGGCTTGTGGGTGTTGGTGCGGGTGTGGGTGTGGATAAGAGTTATAGTTGTCTTATGATCATAATGTTTCATCATTCAATTGCGTGAGATGGTTAATACTCCCATGAGTAAAACTATCAAAACACAATAACAAATTAAGAAAAAAATCCTGGTCGATTCATAGAAAAAGCTTGCAAGTCTAATTTTTAAATTTAAAGAGAAATTTACATATTATGTATTTACATATTTCACTTCTATACTATCATATTTTCAAACATAGCATTGCAGTGTTATAGACCTAGGAATGAAAAAGTGTCTTTCACTTTTAAAAAGTAGCAATAGTGCTATTTTTGATGTGATATTAATGATTGGAGTGATATGTGTGTAAATATAAAAGTGTGTGTGATATGTAAATGCATAAGAATTGTGTGCTATGTATTTAATACCCTAGAATTAATTTTTAAATGGAACATCAATCATCAAAGGCTTTAAAGAAGCTTCATGTTTAAACCTAAAGATAAAATGATGAAAAAATAGTTTATAACTAGCACAAGTAATGCTATGAAATTAATACTTGACATAAAGAAGAATTAGAAACCTATTGATGTTGTTTGAGAAAACAAAAAGACTCCATATTTACACGATGCAAAGTTCGAGCAAGCAGAAGTAACAAAATAATTAAAAGATAAATTTCTTTTTATATTTGAGATATATTTTTAAATGATTACATGAATAAATGAAAATTAGAAACAAAAATTCAATAAATTTATAATGAAATGTGTGTTGTGGGTTTGACTGTGGTCATAATCATTCACCATCATCCAAATTGGTATAGAAGCTTGCTGGCTTCAATTAAAAAGAGCAAACACCCCCCTCGCCCCCCCACCCCATCTGTTAAGGATAGAACCTGGTTCAGCCCGCCCGCTCCCGCGCACACGCAAAGACTCTCACTCTCGCTCCCGTTCGATAAAGGTCGCGACCATGCTGTTTGCGTACCTTTCCTTGTTCGTGAATAGTTGCGACTTATCCCTCCTTGTTTACGAACCGCCACTCTAAGTCTTGATTTTTGTGCTCTTCTTCGGATTTCCTCGGGGTAGAGGAAGAGAAGTACAAGCAGTAGTTCCTTGCGGTAGAACGAAGAAGAAGAAGATTGTTCTCCCTTGACTTCTTCTTGGTGACTTGTGACAGAAGAGAAATTGAGTTTATCTTCTTCGGTGTATCTTGGTGTAGAGAGAGAAGAAGAGAGAACAACAGAGTGAAAGAGTTCACTCTTGTAAGTCGAGACGATCGACTGGTGTAAATTTCTCAAATATAGTAAAATAATAGTAAAATCATCTGCAACTCCGTGGACGTAGGCAATTTGCCGAACCACGTAAATTTGTGTGTTTCGCTGTGTTACTATTTTCTTTTGTGAATTTTCTCATTCTATTTTTTCACTTCGTCGTCGATCGTTCTTCTAATTTTACATACCCACCCAAATTTCAAATCAAATTCACAAAAATATAGCTTACAAACCAATTTTAATGCTGAATTCTAATATGTGCAATCTTCAAAGTCAAAACCAAAGAAAAAAATTACTACAAAATTATTTCATAATTAGTACGGGTATTGCAATGAAAATAAACCATGGCATGTAAAAAGAATTAGCAACCTATTGATGTTATGATAAAATAAATAACATCAAATTTTACATGGTGAAGAGGCCGAGCACGGACAGAGAACAAAATAACTAAAACATACAAATCCAAAGCAAAAGATAAAAGTCAATAAGCCATGATCAAAGATAGATTAAGTGTTACATTGCTAATGACCAAGCTTTCAAACTTGTTGGTTTTGAGAAAGATTCAAAGATTGAGGGGCAATGGCATGCACAAGATTAGGGAAATGACAAGTAAAAATAGTGGCAGGTTAAAGATGACTGCACTTAAAGATAATTTTTCTCCTCTAAATATGATAAAAGATTATTTATATATCCAACTTAATAATTGAACAAATGATTTAAAGATTGGTTATAAATTTAATATCAAAGAAATAATGGAGTCCTTCAGCATGTCTCACATTTAATGAAAAATATTAATGATCCAATGAGCCCATTGTATACATGATTTTGTTTAAATGATTAAAAAAATATTTACATGTTGTAATTATTTTAATTTAGTTCTTTTAAGATCTAGTATTAGCATAAATTTTGAATCATAAAATAGCTATACTAATAAAAGCATTAGAAAATAAAATAGGAATTTTGACATGCACTAAAGATTCTAATTTTAAAAATCCTTATAGTCTATAGATTTTTAGGGGTTGTTTGGCAACAATAAAATGAGTGCCACACTGCATTCATTTCATAGGAGTTATTGGAGTCGGAAGAAAAATAAATTCTGTGTAGAATTATATTGTATTTGGAGTTCATTCTCTAGTTTAATTTAGTATATTTGAAATTCATTGGATTTGGCGAAATCCAAGTATGTTGCTTTATGTAAAGTGTTGCTGGTAATTTACATCGTTCATTTTTGTCGGCCACCACTGCCCACCATCATTCATGTTGGCTTTGGTTGATGCACACCCATCACTTAATATTATCCTAACCTCAACCCTCCTTCGACTCTCGGTTGTTGCCCGCCACAACCTATTAACTATGTTTTAGTCATAGTCACCCCTATCTGTCTCCAACCACTACCAACCACCTCTGCTTAATAACCATCAGCTTACTGTCATCACCACTAGTTACACTTCTCCACAGATGAACATATTATACATTGTGTTTGTTCTAAAAGAGCTAACAATAGTAGAGACCAACCAACCGTCTCATTATGTTGACCACTGCAATTAACTGCTACCGAAATCGCCTAATGGACCTATCAATGAAAAGGTGTTAGATGACAGAAGGTCTTCCAGATGACCGAACGTCTGTTAGACGAGCTGTCAAACGATTGAAGGTCTGACAGAGGCTGAAACTCTGCTAGACGAATGAAAGTTTGCCGAATGACCGAAGGTCTAGTAGACGATCGAAGGTCTTCCAGAGGACTGAAGAACTTCTAGACAACCGAAGGGCCATCCAAGCTAACAAGAAAGAGCATTCATGCCAACTATCAGGCAATGGTCCAGGTAAAAAAAAGACCCAAAATTAGTTATTGTAACGAAGAGGCATAATAAAAGACAATAATGTTTTGTAACCCCTATTAAAGTAGGGGTAGCCATGTAATTTTCCACATTTGATGATTTTTCTCCAATAAATCTCATAACATGTAAAGAGGGAGACTTTTTGAAGCATTCTTATCATTTAGACATTACTCTTCACTTATATTATAACAATTTCTTGCAATATATAAAATGAATCCAAGAGCCTAGGGAACACCTCCACTTTGCCCCATAGGAAGGCAATCATTGTGTCACTCCTTCTTTCTCTCTCTCTCCAACTCTTTTTCTCTTCCTTGGTCCTTATGCTCTATATCTTGAGCATAATCTACATGACAAAATTGGATTCAGCACATTGATATCAATTTTTTTTTCAAACTAGACAAATATAATATAACATTTTGATTTTATTTTGTGTTGAAGTAAGCACCAAAATATTTTAAATATACGAATTTATTTTTACACTGAATTCTTCTTTTAACAAACCAAGTTGCCCCTTAGTGTAGAATTATACTATAATTTGAAGTTCATTCTCTAGTTTACTTTAGAATATTTGAAATTTGTTGGATTCGGTGAATTCCAAGTACATTGCTTTATGTAAAGTGTTGCTCGTAATTTACATCGTTTATTCTTGTCGGCCACCACTGCCCACCACTATTGATGTTGGCTTTTGTTGATGCATAACCATCACCTTATATTATCCTGGCGTCAACTCTCTTTCGCCCCTCAGTTGTTGCCCACCATAACCTATCAACCACTTTTTAGTCATAGTCACCTCTATCAGTCAACGAACACTACCAACTACCTCTGATTAATAACCGCCAACTTACTGTCATCAACACTAGCTACTCTTCTCCACAGATGAACATATTATACATTGTGTTTGTCTTAAAAATGCCAACGATAGCAGAGACTGGTCGACCATCTCATTCGGTTGACCACCCTAGCCGACCGAATAGCCACATCGCATGATGGACCCAACAACAGAAAGGTGCTAGATGAGAGAAGGTCTTCCAACTGACTGAAACGTCTGCTTAATGAGTTGTCAGATGATTGAAGGTTTGACAAAGGCGGAAGCTGTCAGACGAATGAAGGTTTGTCGAATGACCGAAGGTTTGGTAGACAACCTAAGGTCTTCCAGACGACTGAAGAATTTTCAGAAGACCGAAGGACCATCCAAATCAACAAAAAAAAAACATTCATGCCAACTTCAAGACAATGGTCTAGATACACAAAAAGATACCAAAATTAGTTACAAATACACAATGACACAATAAAAGA